TATATATATATATATACGTCGTTGATTTGATGCAAATACAATCAGCGTGACGTCGGAATCAAGTCTAAATCGTAAACGTTAAATTGCAGCGAAATAAAATGTAAAATGTAATGTCCTTTATTTCCATCGTCGTATTTAAAATTTATGATCATAATTCTCATTTTGGGTAAAAAAACCTTTTTCTATAATAATTGTACATATATAAAATATTATAAATTTTATATTTTATAGAGATTTAATTCATATACACAAAAAACAAATGTTCGAAAAGATGAGAAAGAAGTTCGGAGTAAATTATAATTAAAGATCGAAATTTACATTAATTGTTATTTTTCTCTTTACGATATGATGAATAATTATTATATTATAATCAAACCAACTTAATTTTGTTGAATATGTTGACGCTTAAAGATATATTATTTTGAGAGAGCACTTTGTATATATATTTGTTCTTTTACTTACACACAAGGCTGCTAAAATAAAGTTATCCGTGCGTTATATTTTTTATTGTATTGTATTTACCCAAGATTCTCTCGGTCGATGACATATTGAACAAGCGGGTCAAACGGCGGTGGCGTCAAGTGTGCGGAAAGATGGATAGCTTCTTTAGAATCGAAAAGAGAAGTCTATTACCGGAGAGTAGCGTCAAATTGACTACGTCCCGCTCTGTCATTTATACGTGTCGCTAGATTATCAGATTTACAGTTCGTTCCACAAAATTGAGAACACGACAAAAAGAAAAAAAAATAAACAATGAGTAGGCAGTTTAGCTATTTGATTATACATTATACTTTACTCGTGTATTTTTACTAAAGTAAAGCTTCTTTTTTATAATCTTATTGCGCAGAGATTATTCTTATGGAGGAGAGATATTCTAGCGATTCATAAATAAAGAAATATTCCAGAAATATATCTATATATATATATATATTTGTAGCAATCCTCATTTTGGTTAAAAACAAGGCAACGATAGGTCGTTGACTCCCACGAGGAGTCGGATGGAAATGTCGATGCGCGACTTTAAGTTGACTGCTTTTACCCCTGGCATTTATATTCATCGGTAACTTTGATTGTGCGCCATAGGAATTGAAAATGGTCCCCGAAACGAAGCAAGACGACAGTAAAACTTCCACAGGGATACTGAACGAAGAGAGAACGGAGGAAGAAAGAAGGAAAGAGAGGAAGAGAGAAAGAGAGAGAGAGAGAGATAGACGGATAGAGTGAAATAGGCAAATCCCATGGTACTCCATCGCGTTCTGGCAGCGAGTCTGCCAGACTCTAGGGAGAGAGTGGGCCTCTGTTATACCGGAGCTTTT